CCCCCCCTCACCCCGGCAGTGCTACTGACTGAGGTGTCTTTTAGGCCATTCTCAAAGGGGGGATATTAACAGGTTCTTATGCACAGAAGAGTTGTAAATAGGCTGACCTATCAAAATCAGTGTCATGCTCATACTGTGCCGGAACAACATCGGGGGAACTGCTGCTTTTTCTTTCCTCATCCTTACTATTATAATTTGTTGCCTCTACCTATTTTAAATATTTGTCACTCTCTCGTGAACTGCTATTTCCGGGGTGCTTTGATAGTCGAAGCAGACTTAATTGTACTGTCGAAGCTAGAGAGATGAGCAGAGTAAGCCTGATTTCCCGTTTAGACTTCTCTGTTGACATCCACCCCATTGCCGCTCACATGACTTTATTATACAGCTGCGAGCGTCTTAAAACCTTGATAAACAAAAACAAACAAAACAGTTTTAGTTTCCCAATGAGAGATTTAACGAGATTTTGATGTCCATATGTGCAGGCAGAGCACAACACCGAGACAGCCGTGTGGATCAGACATCTCAAACAACTGTCCAAAAACCTCGGCTACTGGAGACGACGACGCAATGGTTTACCCAACATCATGCTCAGAGCTACCTAACCACGACATGCGTTCTACGCGAAAGAACATTGGTTTTATTGTTGTAGTTGTTGTTATTGTTATTATTGTTGCTTCATGACATTCACATTCCAGCCCAACTCTTTCAATTGTAAAGCAAGTGCATTGTTATGTATTGGTATCAATATTATTACACTTTATGTAAATAAATTCGTATTATTGTAACAGACATTAGCAATGCCAGTAAGCGATCTTTATGTTACCTTGCTTATATGATGTTGTATTTTGTTCTCTTTAAAATCAAGAACAGTTGACAACTTGGACACCTCAAACGAAAGATCACATAACATTCCCATTCTCCAAAAGCAGCAGCGATGATGGTATCAAGAAATGCTTCGTGAAAACAAGTTTGTGTTTACCATTCCATTGAAAGAAACACTGTAGGCCTAGGCCTGCATGTCGTGAACCCTTTATTGTACTTCATATATTCTGATTTTGTTCCAATGACGGGGTGACGGTGATTAGCAATATGATAATTGTGAGTCATTGTAAAAAATATTTTGCATCCTTAATAAGATATAATGACGAGTAAATTGAATTTTCCGGAACCATGACCTTAGAATAATAATATGCTAACAAGTGAAAAAAATCTGTAAGGACCCTTCGGGTCATGCTATCAAGTTGAGTAATTTACTTTGAGTACACGTTCTCTGAGTATTGAAGACGCACTGTTCTTGGGCTCTTTCAAAAAAGAACTTCGTTACCCGGTATTCATACAATTCTGTCTTTACTTCAGAGAAAGCAACAAAGTTCATTTGATGAATTATGCAAAATCGTGTTCCCGATTTGTATGTTATGGTTCAAAATATGCTGCAAACTTGCCTTTGTTGATTCCTTTGATCTGCTTGTGGTCGATGTGTGTTCGCTTCGTTCTTTCGGGTAACAGAGTTCACTGTCAGGGGAGGTAAAATGTCTTTTACAGGGAAAAAATTAACTATAATATCCTCTCCATGAAAGCATTATTAGATTAAACATCTAATTAGTCTGGGACAGATCAAGGGAACGTTTAGCCCGTAAGGTAAAGTTTGCATTAACTATTTTATTAGGTAAGTGTTTCATAATATCAGCGCGCGGGACATACCAAACATTTTCAGTTGGTAGGAAAGAATTTTGAATTTTGCCCGGTTGGCGGCTGAAGCCTACTCTTATCGATCTTTAACATGCGCAACTTGCACACGGGACCTCCAGGATTTGTCGCCCTTGTCCGAGAAGGCTAGACGTAGATCTTTCCTAGCAGAAGATCAGGGGTATGGCTGAAAGACAGCAGTAAGAGGGAGCCAAGAAGTAGCAGTTGAAAGGCTGAAGAAAGAGTCAGAAGCCCAGAAACGGGGGAAAAGGAAGTGAGGGGCAGAAAGTGGAAACGAAAGCAGACGACAGAAAATTGAAGAGAGCAGAACAGAAGATGAAAGGAGACAATTTTTAGAGTACACGGATTCGAACCCAGGACCTTTGACGAGAGCCCCCGCATTAACTTTTAAAAACTCCCACGTGTCAGTCAAATTCTACATCATTCATACCGCTGTCAGCGCCTCATTTGTAGGGATGTTTTCTCATATATTCAATCGTCAGGTATCTTGTTTCGCGAGCTTGCAACATATGTAATATCCATTGTTTTTATCTTTTTTAGGGGGGGGGGGGGGCAACATTCAAACACAAAATGACATTTTGGCCTGATGACTTGTGTTACTACTACACATTAGACAACACATTGTGTTTAGTCAAAATGTTCTAGGACCCACTATTAGCTCAGCTGACAAGTTGAACAGCAATGAGGGCGATCATGGATTAAATCTGCCACAAGAGTCTCTTGGAACGAGCAGCGTCAATGAAGTAGGCCTATTCAAGGCTCTCCACCCACCTGGCTCAGTGCTGTCTATAAACGGGACTTTATTATGAAGTTTGGGCTCTCAACAAAACAAAACACAAAAAAACCTCACTTGTTCAAAGGCGCGTAGGACCCATAAAGTACTTTACATCAAACTAGTCCAGAGTCTTCTTTCTCAATTTTAGGTGCTTTTGAATTTATTTTTTGTTGGTACTATATTATTATTATTCCAACATTGATTTCATGAACAGCAGGACAGCGCCACGAATCATGAGAGTGGTTTGAAAACTAGAGATGCAGGACTTGGCAGAAGTTAACTTGTACTTGTATCCCCCACTGGGAACTAATGACCTAGTTCTTACAGTACACACATCTAGGCTCTCCGCTCTCTGTGGGGCCAAATGTGTGTTGCCATGACATCATGTGTGAAAGACGCTTTTAAGAATGAGGGGTTCAAATTAATTTTTATCAATAACTGCATATCATGCTTGCAAGACGGTATTATATTATGTATTTTCATTATTCGACTGTGATCGTGGCGATCTCAAATGTGTTGTTGCAGTGAATCTTGGACATATTTATAGCCCCCCCCCCCCACCCGAGTGAAGTTGTGATAAGTTATCTTTGTGTGCGTTTTATGATGATGTGCTTTGATATGAGCTTATATGCAAGAGTATATATGTGCGTATGTCAGTGTACTTTTTCGTGTTCATGGAATTAGAGTGAGATCATGACAATGTATTATACAATAATCAGCTGCCCTTTTAAATTGTTGAGAAGAGACTTGTTATTAATTTATGAATGTGACATCATCGCTTTGCAAACAGTATGTATGTACAAACATGTCATGTTAACGATGCACACAGTGAAGAGACTCCCAATACCTGGTGAGATCAGTTACTACCTGTCGTCTTTTGTGGAAGTATAAATTTTCCTTTCCTACAAATATATTAAGAGTCAAGAGACAAAACAAGTTAAGACTTTGAAATTTTAAGGTAGTTGTATAGAGATATTTTTTTTCTTGAAGGCAACTTATAAAAGTGTCTATTATCTTGAAATTGAGCGGTCCATGTTTCCGTATCATATTATTATGTCCCCATTTAGACGTTAGAGAAAGAAACTGGGGTGCTAAGGATTAAAGGATTAAGCCATGTTAAGTCTTGAAACTGATGAACTACAAACATACAGAGCATTCCAAAAATTTTCAGAATAGCTTATCAACTACAGCTCTTTACTCTGGTATGCTCGAAGGAAAAAAATAAACTCGAACCAAAGAACTGTACATTTATGTGCATTGAATTATCTATTCTAATTAACAACAGCACAGCCAGGACAAAATGACTGGCTTAAATCGGTACATTACGTCTTCGTATATTACACGTTGTATTATAATAGATAGATTGACATACTTCATCAGTTTGACAAAATTCATTGCAGCCCAACTGATTTTTATCTCTCAAAAAAACAAAACAAAGCTGAATTATGCCAAAATTTCATAGCTTATGAGAAATACATGTGAAATTTACTTTACATACTTTCAGAAAATCCAACTTTCACTTTGCTTTTATTTTGCTTTCTGTATTTTGATGCACAATGAAGGTTTACTATGACACACCCAAAAATGTGCTTTCTCTGACAGGAAAAGGATGAGAGCCCTTGATGTTAGCAATTAAATTACTAATGATATTTTTGTTCAAATAAGCCATTGAGAGATGCACAGAAAAAAGATGCAATAAAATATATAAGTTGTAAATTAAGTGATGTTAACATATGTACTTTATGCATTTCTGTTGTACTTGACAAAAAATCAAGTCAATAAAATTTCCGTTTGTAAAATCATCAGAATATTTGTACTTTATTTCTGAATGGGATAGTTGAACAAGTTTTACAAAACAATTCATTAAAAAGTGTTCTTTGTACAGTGAACAGTCTTGCATCCAAATAATCAAACTTACATCAGTTGTGAATCAATGTTTAGTGTTTATAATGCACATACAGGAGTCATTATATTAAACTTTAAAAAGCAACAAGATTTTCACAGGCACGGAAACTCAGAGACTCAAAAACAATTTGAACTAAACTATACCAGAGTTTTGAAAAAGAGCATTATGCTGCCTTCAGGACTTCAACATTTCAAAACAATAATTTATCTTGGACTGAAAATTGTCGATTGAAAAGAATTTGGTTTCCATGCCTGTAACCTTCACACTCTATCACTGGTACATGGGATATGTATGGCTCACTGTAGGTAAATCCACTTAAAAAAGACCTGGAGTGATCGTAAAAATGAAAGAGCATTTAACTTTTGCTGTACATAGCAGTCTTGTGATTGTACATAACATAGTCAGTGAGGAGGTCCAACATAAGGTGAAGTGATGGAATCAATAGATGCAGTCTGGAGAATTGTGTTGACTGATGCACGGAATGAACAAGATGAGAGACTGGATTGAAGATGAGAGGAGAAAGGGAGACAGACAAACAGACAGAGAGACTGTACATTACCGATGAGACTAAAATATGCCAATAGCTCTCTAGTGCACATGTAGACACAATGACTGAAGTCCCTTAACAAGTATCTAACATAGTCATGTAACCCAGTTACACCATTCCCTTTTGTCAAGGATACAAAATTGGAGAAAAACAACCAAAACAAACAGTAAAAAACAAAGAGAAGGAACAGATATGAAAAGCAACAAGTCCACAACAAATGACAGACAGAACCCAAACAAAAAAGAAATCTCTACAAAACCCTAAGCTATTGCTTCTTGTTTCGCTTTAGAATACATTTTAATGATTCTATTTAAACAAATTAACTAGGACTCAGTGGAAGACAATATAATAGTAGGCCCCACAACAAATAAAATAGTTTGACATCTTTGAAAAATCAAAAGTGATGAAAATCCCTCAGTTCCATTTTAATCAATGCAAGCAATTTGAAAGTATCCCAAAGATGCTTGTAAAGACTGCATATGATTCATTATCAAAGATAACAAAGAAAAGTTGGTTTCATCAAATTTAAAAGCAAAAGCCTTTAAAAAAATTTGACTAAGACAAATACAATAATCAAATACACGGAAAAAAAAGCCACTTCTGTGATGTCAGAATGATCAAAACATTGAATCTATACTGACACTAACACAAAGCACATGCAGAATGCTTGAATTCCATTCAAAAGCATAATATGTAACTATTTTAACAACTGAAACCCTGAGGAATGTCTGAGAAACTGGGAATGAGAAGGTTATCAGGCACAAGGATTTGTATACAAAAGCTTGAATAATATGACAAAGCATGAGCTCTCTGCTGAAAAATTCCATTACAAACAATTATGTACATAAATTCTACGGCCGGAGCATTTAAATTCTGGGCCCCGGGAAAAGAAATAAAGGCTTTCTGTGTGTCAGACAATCTTGTGGCTGGAAAAGTAAAGGGTAACAACATCAACAACAACAGGTCATGTCAACAAGCAACAACTTCTGTAGCAGGTCACTGCACTACCATTGTCTAAGACATCAACACAGTAAAGGCAGAATATAGAGGCAGCATTTAAGTGTAAAGAGAATAGATATTTGTAAATATCAAGGTAGATGACGGACGGAATGCTAGTGTGAGCTGATGGGTTCACATAATTTCAAAATGGAACACTTGGTATTACATCACAATATTGGTAAAAGCAGTCTCGACCTGCAACTATGTAATGAATAAGATTCTCTCGATAACAATCAGCGGTGATGAAATGGTGGTAATAAATTAAGGTCTTGTGAAACAAACTATACACACAGTATCACACTATATTTGCAGGCAGTGGACATGCCATCCTCAGCGTTTTTTGGATGACTTTCAGTATCTATCACATTCTTCGGTTTGGATGACATCCAATATCTATCACATTCTTCGGTTTGATTAATATCATCAGGGCCTCTCAGAGCTTGGATCCAGCGTAGGACAAAACAACAGCTAGCATCAGGAAGGAAAGACTGGTAGGTGTCACTGCTCTCGCTCCAGCTGTGGAGGGGGAAAAAATACAGAAAGTTGACACAACCACTCTCACAGGGTGAGGATAGAAAAATCAGGAAAATGTTAGCTTTAATAAGAATATTAGGGCACTTGCTACACAAATAGGTCACCTAAGTGCTGAAGATTAGGGGTGTTACTAAGAGGTTATAGACCAAAAAAAAAAGAAGGAGAAGTAAGGACGATAGGTATCTGATAGGAAAGTAGAAGAAAACCACACCAGAGCACTCGCCAAACATCCACAATATGAACTACAAATCCAATAGGCAAAAACACATCACAAACCCTTTCAGATGGAGGAAGGTACATATTGTAAGTCCAAATCATGCAGGTAAGTAGCCTTAAAAGTGTATTCAATTTGCGATGTAGCCTACATTTTCCCCCACGTTTACTCCACAACTTTATAGAGCACTTACCAAAACCCTCTCCAGTTTTGAGAGTTACCTTTGTTGCCAGCTTTACTTGACTAAAGTGTATATGTGACACTAACATACCCATGACTCTAACCTAAAATTCCTGTGTCTCTAACCTGACATGGATATGTCCCTAACATACATATTATGTCTGAAACATACCAGTGATTTTAACATATCTGTGGCTCTTTATATATTTGACCCTAACATACCAGTGCTTCTAATATAACGGAGTCTATAACATACCCGTGTCTCTAAAATATATTTTACCCAAACATACCTGCGCTTCTAACATATAATTGACCCTAACATGCCAGTGTCTCTAACATATCTGTGTCTCTAGCATACATTTGACCCTAACATATCTGTGCCTGTGCCTATACATTTGACCCAAACATACCTGTGCCTATAACATACATTTGACCCAAACATACCTGTGCGTATAACATACATTTGACCCAAACATACCTGTGCCTATAACATACCTGTGTCTATAACATACATTTGACCCAAACATACCTGTGCATATTACATACTTTTGACCCAAACATACCTGTGCCTATAACATACAATTGACTCTTTACATACCTGTGTCTATAACATACCTATGCCTCTCAATACATTTGACCCTAACATACCTGTGTCTTTCACAAAAATGTGTCTCTAATATACATGTGCCTCTGTGAGTCTCTAACATACCTGTATTCTCACACACCTGTGACTTTAACATGTCTCTCAGACACCTGAGCCTCTAACATACCTGTGACTCTGAGTTCAAAGGCCTGACCGGCAGAGCCTGCCAGGTTGGTGGCGGTGCAGGTGTAGGTCCCCTCGTGCACCAGCTGCAGGTTGGTCAGCGACAGAGTGGACGAGGAGACGGTGGACGAGTCTGGCTTGGTCCAGGAGAAGGAGCAGGTCGGGGTGCACGTAGCCTCACAGGTCACGTTCAGGTCCGAGCTGGACACCTCAGAGTGGACCGAGCCCAGGACAACGCTGCCTTTTTTAAGCACCACAGAGTTGGCGGGACCCACTGAGGATGCGAATAAGTGTGCGTTAACCTTTGTAAGATTGTAAGCAATGACGTAAGGTCAAAACAGTCCCCAAGACGGCCACATATTGTAGAGGAGAAAAAAGGCTGTCTTAGATTCCAAACAGAAAGATGGATGTCTTGGACAGTATCATTATAATACAGCAAAAACTTAGGGAGAAGTGAGAAATGGTTGTTAGTGAAGGTGATCGTCTTGAACAGGTGGCCATTTGAGCTGGATGGACGGTGTTTCTTTCCTTTCCAAATACTATGAAGCCATCTATATTAAACTAACGTCCTACTTCATTGCTTTACAACTTTACCTTAATAATTTTTAAATTATCTAATGAGTTTTTATTAAAGGGCTTGACAGTTTATTTCTTTCAATTCAGTCCAACAATTTCCAGATCTTTGAAGAACACAAAGCAGGCCAGCCTGTTAAGTGCACAAAGGTAATTTACATTTTTCTGTTACAGACAGATACCATCTTGAATACGTTCTCAGTCAACATATGATTAACTTTCAGACATCATATTTTGTGCTGATTTAAAAGAGCGCAAACATCATAGTGATCTGTGTAACTTTTTGTAAAAGTGGAAAGTGAATGGAGACTTAAGCTTGAAGTTAGAACTATATTTAAAAGCAGATGTACTATAAATCCTCTCTCTTTATCTGCAGAAAGTCTCACCAGCGAGGGTCAAATCCACTACAGGACTGTCCAAAGACGGAATGCTGCTGATGGTCACTTGGCAGGTGTAAGATCCTTCAGAGCTGGAACTGAAGCTACTGACCGTCAGCGTGGCATCTGATCCAGATATTGCCTGGCCATCTTTCTTCCATGAGTAGGTCTTGGTACCTGAGCATGAATTACGCACAATGTGAGGGAGTACTTCTTGATGAATGGATATGTACTAGAAATAAAAATCATCAGCGGCGGAGCCTATAGTCAGTTTTAAATAAACACTGGATCTATCTTTTATATATTCCTGCATTATTGATAAGCTGCTGGGTAGTTCCTTTTTTTGTTTCAAATGAAAAAAAATAATTATCAAATGAATTATTGGTTTAGACAACAATATTCACACCATTATTTGCCTGCTCAAAACCATATATTCTTTCTTTACTTTTTAAAAAAAATCTTCAATGAAAATGAAGCACAAAAGAGTTACCAGATGAAGTTGATGCACAAGTCAAAGTGGCACTATTTCCAGCAATAACATAAGCGTCGGAAGTTGTCAAAGATGGGCGAGCGGGTGCACCTGGAATAAAAACACAGAAATGATTAAAGCAAATGTATGGTTCAACCCAAAAAGATTAAAGACCTCAATAATTTCATTCAGAGCTTTTTACTTAATCAAATCTATAGTTTTTCTAACCGCTTAAAGCTTGCTTGGTACTTGCAACAGTGCTGAAACGGAAATTGAACTTACTAGCTTATTCTTTTGTGTCACTGTGATATTGACACAAAGCAGAAGAGGAAACAACATATTAGGGGCGATAGCATTTATCCTTTGTGTTAGATTAAAGTTTGCTGTCCAAAATTCTGAAACTTTTCAAACATTTTTAAAGAAATGGTCTAGTATTTTGTAATAATTTCCTGAGCACCTCAAAACCGAAATGGTTCTGCAGCAATTACTGTAATCTCTTTCAAAACCTTTCTTCTTACCGACTGCAACCTCCAAATTTATTATTGCAAACAGTCGGAGCACCTGTTTTCTCATTATTTTTTTTCCACAGCTTAAATTTTATCAAACAGGAAAAGATTTCCTTCTGTTTTGTTCTTGCAGTTTTAGAATACAGCCAAAAACACTCACTAAAAATGTCTATTAAACTTTCTCTTGGCCTAAACTCTTGCGTAAAATATGAAAAAAAAAAAAATCACTCATTTGAACAGAAAAAAATTACTAGTGATTCTGAGAATGAAGATTCATTACCAAAACATCTCTGACTGTAGCAATTCACCTTTACAGCCCCAGTCACCTCATATATATTTCCCTCCCACCAGTTCTCGTTCTCCCAGGTCCAGTTGCAATTATTTCCCTCACAGAATGCCAGCCACCTCAGTCTGGTATTTTTACCGTAATCTATCCAAATGTCTCTGAAAATCGTTCTACATGATACCTTCTGAAACTTCAAACAAAGGCAGTATAGAATTTTTGTTAATGTCTGTGAAAAAATTACAGACAAAATTAGTGTTGGATAAGCCTCAGGGGTCAAGGACTCCAGTACTGAAAATGGTATAGAGGCTTCACACTGTAAAGTTATTAAAGAGGTGGGACCTCTGAGTTTAACGTCCATCTCCAAAAGGACAGAACCAAGTGGGAAATTTGCATAAGGTGTCTTTCCCAAGGACACAATGTTGGACTGAGTTGAGGTTTAAACCCCCGAACCCCCAATCTCACGATTACGAGTCAGGTAGCCTAACCACTAAGCCACCGACGCTGACTCCAGTACTTCGCTGGGCCAAAGAGAAGTGAGGACTAAGAAAAGCCTTGTGCCGTAACGGTTTTAAAAAATGACACTATCCCCTCACCATTTGCTGCAAGGCTCACTGTTGCACTCTCAGCCGACACCAGAGAGTCCTTGGTTACTGTGCACGTGTAAGCGCCCGTGTCAGACGTGGCAAAGCTGCCGATCGAGTATGTGCTGGAAGCCTGGTCACTGACTGAGGTTCCGTCTCGCAGGAACTGATATGTGATCCCGCTACCCATAGTTGTTGTGGTGCAGGTCAAGGTCACAGCGTCTCCCGTGTTGAAGGTAGACGGGCTGCTCGACAGACTTGGGGTGTTCGGAGCAACTGAAACAGCAAAACATTCAAGGTTACCAGTTATTTGTTCACTACTATTTTGGGGAATACTGTCATTTTTTCACTTCAGCGAAATATTCCTTTCTTTGTGTGTTTGGGTAATGACTACTTTAAAAGACTGAATGATGTTCAGAGCTTGCTTCCTAACATGAGAGGAAGCTAGATCTATAGCCTATAAATGATACTTATTTATAATATTATCATTAACAAATTGCAGCATACTGCAAACTGCCACAATAGCTATCATATTGAATGTTGTGCTTGTCCATTCAATAATATTGCAACTGATAAGAAGTTACAATTTAAATAACGTAAAATAGTCAATGTTGCCATATATTTAGATTTTGCCATGTCAGTGTTTAAAAGAAAATGTGTGTATATGGAGGTAAGAAAGATGGGGCAAACTTTATTGTTTCCCTAAAAACAAAACAATTAAGAAAATAATCTCCACAAAGCTTACCTAAAAGAAATCTAAGGAAAGCTCAAACAAATTAATTAAATTGATAAACATACCAAACCATACAAATTATTCATCTATGGGCTTCTAATATTCTCACCTGCCAGATAGATATTGAGGGGATCACTTTGAAGAGAGGTCAGAGGTGCCTCCCTCACAGCACAAGTGTAATCCCCTGCGCTAGACGAAGTGAACGAGGAGAGGACTAAAGTCGATGCACTTCCAGAGACGGTCACTCCATCTTTCTCCCAGATAAAGGTAAGGGCACCCGCGTTGCCATGGTTACAGGTCAAGGTTGTTGAACCTCCATTAGGTACCGCAACTGAAGTGGCTGTAACACTACTGGGTTTGGTAGGTGTCTCTGCAAGAAAAGAGGGCGCACGTAAGTGACCTCAGGAAGGACCTTTCAAAACACTTTTATAGAATACTGATTCCAAAAAAAAAATCTGAGAGGCAAAGAGATTAACTTTCAGCAACATGAAATACAGTTCACCCCTATATTCCCAAAACCTTTTTTTCTCTTTCTGTTCTCATTCCTGTCCCAGTATTTCTATCCAGCCACTCACATAAGTCAGTTTGATAAAACTCATTAATTCTCATACCTTTGATCTCAGAGGATTTTCTACAATTTGGCACCTATTTTTAGTGTAGTTATTGTCACACACTTGAAGATCATAAATGGAAAGAAATCTCCTTAAAAATTCACAGAAGCCATTCAAAGAAAATTTTTTAATTCAAAATCGAAGATGGTAATGTACAATATAAATCTTGCATTTTGACTAAAGCTAGTTAAAATACATCCATGACAGGACTCAGCGGACATGTGGATTAGAATAATCCTTGTAATATGGGAGGTACCGAGGTGAAATCAAGTGCTCGTCAAAATAATGAAATCGAAGAAACTGGAATTTTTCTGTCCGTTTGGCAATTTTTATCGAATTTTTGTTTTTTGATTCAACACCTTTAAGGTCCACTAAACGACACATTTCTGTGTGGATTTTACGCAAATTTCTACGGACTCTCAAACTTTGGCGGCCATTTTCTCCCTAATTTTACCTCTGAAACCAGGTGACCCCCACCTCCTTCTATTGCAAATATCTCGACTTCTACTTATGATAGATGAGTATTATTTTCATTGAAAGCAAGACAAATGAACAAGCTTTAAAATTATACCAATAATTCCACATGTCAAAAAATTGAACAGCGCCTGATTCCACCGCGTCGTGACACAAATAACATCACTTACGCCTGACACTGAGAGGGAAACTAGCACTGTCGTCTGAGAAGACTGCACTGCTGACCAAAGCTTTACAAGTGTACGTTCCATCATGGCTGGAATCAGCTGACAATATCATGTACGTGGAGGAAAATTCCCCTGGCACCTGAGTGCCACTCCTGAACCATTGGTAGGACAAGGTCATAGAACTGGCACTGGTGCTTGTGCAAGTGAGTATAGGAGAAGATCCTTTGTAGATATCTGTGAGGCTTGACGAGATTGTGGGAGAAGCAGGTTTTGCTGTGAAGAAAAATAATAATTACACTGTAAACAAAAAAAATCCCTCCTTGACATACAATAAACCTATTGTTAAAACAGAATCAAATAAAATCAGTTAAAAAGTCTTGCGTTGTTTAAACTCTCCAAAATCACTATGAAGCAGAAAATAAAATCATGAGGAAAACGTTTGTACCATCTTAAGACCAAGAAAAAATATGTAGGATGCACTGATGAAGTGAGAAAACACATGACATAAAAAAGCACAATTATTTCAGCTCCATTTGTAAACAGCAGACTTAGAAAAAAATCTTTTATTTTTGGTATGAAAAGAAGTACAGCACTTGATAATCATCATATACATAGCCACGTTGCATACAACAAACTCCTTATATATGTGAGAAGAGGAGGGAACGACTTACTAGAAGCAACCAGAGTAAGAGAGTCACTCATCAGTGATGTAAAACCACTAATTGTAACCTCACAGCTGTATTCTCCATCATGAGTGCTGGAAGCGTACGGGTTCAAGGACAGGTCACCGCTGGCACTTGCAGCGCCTTCAGCTTGACCATTCTTGTACCTGAGACAAACATGAGTAATTCCGTAAGATTTTCACATACAACTGACAAACGTAAGGTACATGTAGTATCTATGAGTAGATCCTCCCCTTCCCCCAAAAATTAGTATAAAGCAGGTACTGCAAATATAAACAGTCCAACAGTGTAACGACTAAGGTACATTTATGCGTTATGAATTATTTGAACTGCCGCACAGAAACAAACTTCACGTATTTAAAAGAGACAAAAGGAGAACTAAATTTGCTCTCCCCCCAACAACAAAGAATTAGGAGTAAATTTGCAGGTTAATTCTCAGTATGGCAGGCTCCACTTTGAGTAGCTGTAGACAATGAAAGTTCGCTGGGGAAGAAATAATAAATCCATATAAAGAACTGAAACAACATCTAAGAAAATTTGAGAAATCCAATTCATAGACACCAGAATGATCTTGGCATTTCTGCAATAAATTGCAAGATACATTACCACTGGTATGACTTTGTTCCCGTCGATGTGCTGGAGCAAGTCAGTGTCACATCAGTGCCATCCATGAAAGTTGTTGGGCTCACAGTGACCACCGGAGTGTTTGGAGTCCCTGTAGACAACAAGAAAAAAAGTCCATAAATGCATATCCTAAGAACACTTTTCTGTACTTTTATATAGAGAATGCCAGCTAAGTATATGTTCAATTGACTGACTCTATCATCTCCCTTGGAAAGTGGCAGGAGAAAAAAAATCAGGATTTCCATTACTAACATGACATTCCCCTCAACAAAGTACCAAGTCAACAAAAAAGAAATTGTTTCTCTCAATTGACATTCTTTTACAATTTTTAAAATCTCAATTTTGTTCAGATTTTGCACTCAATGGACATATTATTACTCCAAAAAATTGAAGACATGTAAAGTAAAAAAGTTGCAGTTGTTCAAAAGCCCTTTTTCATCAAAGTTCACGGTCGGCAAAATCAAACAATTAATAAAATCAAAAATTAACTTTGAAGAATTTAGAAGTTTAGAAATTTTGAATAAAAATGTCTCACAGTAAGGGGTACAAATATACGAGTCTGAGGAAATCAGGAATATGTTACCTCTGTGCCATTTTGAGTTTTTGAGCTTTTCTCAATGAACTTATCTAAAAGATGAGATATTGCATTTCGAAGAAACAAAATGTGGAAAAGTAAGAACTAAGAAAAAAACAAAAAGTCACACCATTATTGCTTATTAATATCTGAAGGAAAATGGAAAATAAATTGAGAAAAAATATTTAACAGTGGTTTTTACAAGAAACAGCTCTTGAATTTTTTTTTAATGGTTGGGGAATCCCTCAATACGTTCAAAATCAGCCAGAATCGACCACACCGACTATTTTGGCAGATATCTTGGTTTGAGATTGAGCAACATATTCCAGGTATCCTCAGCCCGGATCACATATGCCCATTTAATATTGTCAGCATAAAAAAGACTACATATTTCAAAATTGCAACATTCAAATCTTTTGCAGATATGAATACCTGTTGGAGCAACTGGCAGCTCAGCACTATCCACAGACTCTACCCCTGAGCCAGAGATTGCTCTACACGTGTACCCTCCAGTGTCGGTCGAGGCAAAAGAAGATATGACGAGAGTACTGGCTGATTCTCCACTCACAGTCACCCCGTTCTTGGAGTAGGAAAACGTAGTGATGGCGCTGGTGGTGGTGGAGCATTCCAGAGTGACAGAGTCGCCAATTGCAAAACTACTGGGGGACATAGTCAGGCTGGGCAGTGCAGGTGCTCCTGTAGCAAGTAGCACAGACAAATCAACAACTTGATTCAAGTGAAAGAGATGGTCATTAGAAAGTAAGCAATACCAGGAAGTTTTAGTTTTAGTAAAGATTTTATGGCAATTGCAACACAAATGGTCAAATAGGTGCCTAAGATTTGCGGCTTTACTAGGGAGTAACATACAAAGAACAGGAAGTTTTAGTTTAAGTAAAGCTTTTACAGCACTTGCAAGACAAATGGGTCATTCAGGTGCCTAAGATTAGAGGCATAGAGAGTGGCATACAAAGAAGAGAAGGAGGAGAGATAAGAACGATAGATGTTTGATAGGAAAGAAAGAGAAAACCACATCACAGCATCTGCTAACCACTCACACAATACCAGGAAAAGCCAACAGAGAGACATTCTGAGACAAAGCAAAAAAAAATTGAGGGAAATTAGGAAATAATTAACAATTTTTACTTGACTCAACTCTTCCTTTCTACATTATAATGCTTTGGCTGTCCTTCATAGTACTGTAGTCAATAATGCTTCATTCAATGAAATTCATTCATAAAAGCGCAGTTCAATTATTAATCAAATTTATAATGCAAATAAATCCCATTGTTCTTCCAGTCCCCAGCCCACCTCCTTTTCTTGTTTATAGCTGTAGTAGTTTACAAAGAAAACTTTGAATTTATAATAAACACAAATACAAAAAACGTTTCAGGTACAGAAGACCATCAAGCACCAACATTAACATTTCCTGAAACTTTCATAAAAATAAAACTGTCTATTTCTTCATAATTATTTGCTTCAGCATGCATGCTGCCAGTGGCATGTCTACAAACATAACCTAGAAAAGACATTAATGTAACAAATACACAACACAAATTTTGGTGACACAGGGAACCTCATATGATCCCTTTTAGTTTTGGTAGAGTGATCACTGTGCAGATCTAAAGCATTCAGAAACAGAAAGCTGAACCTATTTTATAATGTAAACAGTCCTCACTCATGTCTTTCTTGGTTGAAGCCAATGAAATCAATTTTGTTCTCCTTGGGACCACATGAAACCCATCACCCAATAAAAAAGCGGAAGATATATTCACCCGATCCAAGACGTTCAGCGTTCAGACGAAGGAAAATAATCATTTGAGTGGAAGATGTCTACAATGTATATTTATTTAACTAAATTGAAAAAAAATCAACTCACCACTCAAAGCCACTGACGTCCCATCACTGTAGGCAGACTTGACGCCAGAATGTACCGCAGCACATTTGTATGTTCCAGTGTCAGTGGACGGATTAAAGGCGTGCAAAGTCAGCCCCTTCGTGGTCTCTGAGCGGAGGTTATTGTCTAAAAGCCATTCATAGGTGAGGCTGAGAGAACTTTCAGAACTGGATGTACAGGTCATAATCACAGCGTCATTGACGTTGATTGTAGTCGGGGTCATGGAGATGGTAGGCTTCTCAGGCACAGCTGTGTACAGACATAGATTGTACAGAAGTTACATATCAAGAACATACAGAGAACATGATTGAACAGGTCCTGTAAATCAGAACTTGGCATCTCTCTATATATATTGTGGAAAAGCTGTGTAACTGTCCTAAGCCAAGAGAGCAAACTTTTTCTGGAGAGAGGAAAAAACTTTTCACTTCTTGTAAAAATTGCACCTACATTATGTTGCATTTTTTTGTTCAACATTTAGAATTTGAAAATTAACCAAATGTCTCCAGCACATGCAACCTATACCACAGATTACGAAACTGCAATAAGAAAGAAAGATTTTTTTAAAAATAGGGCTTAGTACATCTAAACAGCTGGCTACCGTAGGTGAAACAAGAGAATGTTATAAAAGGAAAAGTGCCCTGCCTTTATTTGTTGGCATCCCCATTATCACAAGCTTATTTTGTAAACACAGACTGATACATCATCGTAGAGAAGGAGACACACTGGCCTGGAAGATACAACTTCTGTTTGCCTGATGAATCTCTCAACAACTGGTGAGACAAATCTATATCCATAATCGCAATAAGAAAAAGGCATACAAAACTATCGTCATAACAAAAGAAATGACAAGACGTTGAATAGCAGTCCTTATCAGAGAGAAAGAGTATACTGTGTTTTCAAGGTTTCATGTATAGGTGAGACCCTCAGTAACATTTTGAAGCAAGCAATGAAGCATCAATGGATGTGTGCGGAAAGCAACGATGTTGCTTCCTGAAACAAATGGAATGTATGGGCACACAAGGTGAACCTACACTTAGCTGGAACAAAAGAGACACAGTAGAAGATAAAATGAAAACTCACTATAGACGGTAAGAGTGAACCAGTTGCTGGGGTCAGAGGTCAGTGTGTCTGTAATGGTACAGGTGTAGCTGCCCCCATCTGTGCTCTGAGATGCTCCAGTGATCTGTAAGTCCCTGCCAGTCTCAGAGAGTGGGCTACCCGCGTCTTTTACCCACGAGTACGTGAAGGCAGAGACGGGCGAGGAGTCTGTGTTGCAGGTCAATGTGACGTCATCACCTTCACCCACAACAGCCTGGCTGCTCGTAATGTACGGCTTGCTGATTGGGTCTGAGAGGAGAATCATAATTCTTAAGTATGTTATGAATGATCACAGTACAATAGGGTTTATAACACTTTGCAATCACACAGCCAGCAGTGCAAAATACCCCATCTACAACGGACTTATCGGGCCAGGCGCAAAACTGTGCCAGGTGACTGGAACATATAATTTTCACCAGTGCATCATTACACCAAGTGACTGCAAAGTTTTAAAAGACAAACAAGAAAGTCACATTAAGTATCCAGAAATATTTTTGTTTCAAACGAAGGTTTACTAAGGACAGTGGCCCATGACAAACATATCAACTTCAAAAACAAAGGAACAGGTCTGAAAAGAATGCATATTTTTTTATCTTAAACATTCATCCAATTTAAAGATATATAAATTAAATTATATTTCAAGATTTGATCGGTGACTTTTATAGCATTTTTAGCACATCACACCATAACACAATTTATTAAGATCAAAGAAGAAAGTCAATTCTCAATGTACACTTCGACGACTTCGCAAGTGAAAGGAGGGTGTGGTGGAAATGGGAGTGTAGAGTATTCCTTTTCTAAAGCTCTGATTTTATTTGATAGATAATATTTTTGTTGTTGTTGCATAATACGATGAAACCATTCTATGAAAGAGGTTATTCTATGTCAGGTCTGTAATGTCTCTAAAATCTGTGATGACAACAATGGCATTCTGAAAATTTGTCTGTGACAAGCTATGTAAAGAGTGAAGACAAAGACGCAGCAAGCATTACCTTGGACAGTGAAAGACACAGAGTTACTGCTGGGCGAGTCTCCTGCATTATTTGAAGCTTTACAGGAGTACGTTCCTTCCTTGGTGTTGTCCACACTCGTTAACACGTACGTGCTGGAAGACTGACCGCTCACCAGATCGGAACCCTTATACCACTTGAACGTCACATCAGATTCTGTGGCTGTGCAAGTGAATGTGACATCACTGCCTGTGGCTATGACGGTCATGCCCTGGGCCAGGCTGGACGCTAGCGTGGGCTGACTTGGAGGCACTACAGAGAAAGGAAAAGTTCAAACAAACAGACTTATGAATACTCAAGTACAATCTGGTTCATGTGTTTTGGATCTTACATCAAGAATATGTTACAAAACAGATGGAAAGGTTTAAAAAATTCCATATACCAGCAACAGTGGGAATACTTACAAGATAATGTGCCAGCTGCCAATCTCTTCATGAAGAAAATTTTTAATCTACAATTTGTTTTTAATGAAACACCTTTCGACATATATGTGTACATACTGTTTTTGGTGCATGCAGAAAGAAAATGTCACTGGGCTCACAATGGCTTTTGAAATATCAAATATTCTACTCAACTTCTACAGTAGGTGGAGAGAAAAAACCTCCACTATACCACCTTAAACAAATGTTACAATTACCTGAATATTTCAATTCTCAAAACAAAACAGAAACATTCTCAACTGAGGGAAACATGATCACAGGTACTGTTGCAAGAACACTAAGTGATTTTACACATTACCAAAACATACTTCAGAGAGCGTTTTGAATACAAGATCATCTATTTTTGCTACAAAGAATTTGAATTTCAACCAAATATTTTTGAGCACATACAAGCAGTACACAGATTAAAAAATGGCAATTTTAAAAAGCTTCAAAATTATGGGCTTTGTACCTCTGAAGAACTGACCCACAATGTATAACTTACCCAGCACAGTGACGGAATAAGCCTGACTCTGATCTGAATCCACAGTGTCAATAAACGCCTTGCAAGTGTAAGAGCCTGCAGCAGTTGTCTGGATGTTGGTAAAAGTGAGGGTAGCGGCGACCTCCCCAGTGAGTTGGACACTACCCTTGTACCACCTGTAGGAGGTGATGGTGGCCACGCTGGTCACTGAGCAGGTCAGCGTCACGTCATCGCCCAGGTTTGGGTCAGCCACGTTGGACAAAACTGTCGGTACCCCTGGATTATCTTTAGGAGGAAAATAAATAATCATTTTCTTGTTGTAATTTGTGAAACTGCAAGTACTTTTTGTTTTGATTTTAAAAGACTTGCATTTATCAGAGCAATAAACTTAGAAGATGTTTAGACGAGTCATGTTGCTCATGAAGCAAACCATTATCTGATATGTTCTGATAAAAACAAAAAACATTCAAACAAAAATAATTCCTTTCTACAAAATTATACATTAACAAAATTCTAATTGGGTCTTCAGCCTTTAACTCTTTTAGAAACAAAAAGAAAAGATTCTAGGGCTTAAAATATTCCACAATTCATAACAAACATTTCTAAAAGACCACGAGTAATGGGGGAGGGGGGGGGGGGATGTACTGCATCAAAACAACAGGATTATTTCCACATTTCCACTCACCAACAACTTGTAATGAATCTGCAGAGCTTGGCGCAGAATCTACATTATAGATTGTGGCCACACACGTGTAAGAGCCAGAGTTTGAGGGGGCAGTACTTGTCAAATCATAGGTGGCGCTGGGACCACTTTGAACCTCCGTTGTCTCTTGCAGAAAAGAATAGGTTACAGTTCCGTGGCTGCTTAATGTGGCACACGTCAGAGTGACACTCGTGCCTGTCTCAACAGTTGAACTTGCACTTGATGATAAAGATGGCGTCTGGGGTACAGCTGAAAACAGAAAAACATTTGGAAAACTTTTACAAAAGTACATTCAGAACAGAACTAGTGTTGAATTCTTGTAAATTGCAATTTTGACCATTCGAGGCAGAAAAGAGAAGACTGTTGTACATAAGAATAAAAGAACAAATAGGCATAAATATCTCTTCCTCTCCTGCATTCCCACTTTAATAAAAAATATAATTTTATATAGAAAAATCTGTACTATTGTCATAGTGAATAAAGGCATTACACTCCAAAGAGCAGAGATAAAGTCATTTTATTTGCAGACAGAACCCCCCCCCCCCCCCCCGCGCAAATAAATTACGAAAAGAAACCAGACTAAAGATTCTACTCTAGTTCAGGCCTTACAATGCATTATGCTTGTTGAGTGCATAACAAAGTGTCACTGAAATCAGGAAAGTAGTCAGGATAATAATATAGATAACAAGGGAGTAGAAGCTTGACTTTCTACTAAGATTCTACTGCTGCAAGCAAGTGGACAGTACCCAGAGCAGACAGATAACAATACAGTGAGTGAAAACATGACACTCTACTGTTATTATTTTCATTACTAAAATTTTTTTTTTTTCGAAAGTTTTACAGCACTTGCAGCGCAATAAGGCCATATAAGTGCCAAAGATTAGAGGTGTTACAAGAGAGTAACAAACACAAAATAGAAGGAGGAGAGATAAGGACGATAGATGTTTGATAGGTAAGAAAGAGCAAACCCCACTAGAGCACTCGCCAACCACGCACTACTATAGTTCTACTGCTGCTAGTGAGAGGTGTAGCATACCTGCGTAGACTACGGCAAGAGGATCACTCTCAGGGGAGGACAAAGGAGCTTCTACCACTGCACAAGTGTAATCTCCTGCGTCAGAAGAAGCAAAAGACGAGACGACCAAAGTGGACGCACTCCCGCTGACCACTTGTCCATCTTTCATCCAGGTGTAGGTCAGGGTTCCAGTGTTGCCATGGTTACACGTCAAAGTAGTCGAGTCTCCGTCAGGAACAGCCAGTAATGATCCTATGACACTCAAAGGCTTTGAGGGTGGTTCTGCAGGTGAATATAATATCAAACACTTAGTAAAAAATGTCATTCCTGATAATTAAGAACACCCACATTTAAAAGCTTATTACAGTATAACTTGGATAGCTTGAATTCGTCAGGACCGGCCTCCGTGGTTTGAGGGATCAGTCATTCGAGGGGTATTTTACAAAGATAAAGTAAAGGAAAAAAAAGAGACCGCAGGCACAGTTCAATGGAAGCGTGATTTTGAGTCTTCTGTGTTCGACCTTATAGAATTTGATTATTTCTAAATTAAAACCTTGATTTCTATATTCCACAACAGTGAAAGAATACAATTATAAAAGAATGAAGTAGTATGACAAGTTTTAAAAATGAAAATCCTCAATACTAAATACTATTGCACAGAGAGATAAACTACTCCACAGCAAGACACCATGCATTCTTGCCATATGATTGAATTAAACTTTGCGAGACCTCATCTTTTACTGTCAACCAATGAAGAAGTACATCTAGTTTCTGAAATAAAATTGATGTTCTTTTTATAAATGTAATTTTCCATTCTACTTTTCTCATAGTCAGAAGGGTAATTGTGTTATAACAGATTTTAGATAATGAGAACATTCAAGATTCCCTTAAATTTACTTACGCCTGACGCTGACAGAGAAACTTGCACTGATGTCTGAGAAGACAGTGCTGCTGACCAAGGCTTTACAAGTGTACATTCCATCATGGCTGGAATCAGCTGACAATATCATGTAGGTGGAGGAAAATTCCCCTGGCACCTGAGTGCCACTCCTAAACCATTCATAAGTCAAGGTCATAGAACTGGCACTGGAGCTCGTGCAAGTGAGTGTTGGAGAAGATCCTTCGTAGATATCTGTGAGGCTTGATGAGATCGTGGGAGCAGTAGGTTGAGCTGAGAACATTACAAAGATGCAACGGTCAAAATTTCATTTTTACAAAAGAATGTGGACGCCATAGGATCATGAGTGTCACAAAATTTATGTTAAGACCCAAATGTGGAAAGCTATACCATTATTTCCTTTGTGATTTTATTATCAGTTGAAAAAAGTTGGATATTTCATAATACCTTTCTCTTCAACATCACTGGTGTATTTTACTAAACCATGCATCATTTTAACATTATACAATTTACTGCTATTAAGAAAAGCAGTATCAAGATTAGTCATAACTTGTGCACATAAAATTGTTTAATTTATGAAAGGGAGTAAAACTTTTTCCAACTTCCATTTCATTAAATTAAAAGATTATACCTTTGAGAACTAAACATGTTTTGCTAAAAGGAAAGATTGTTAGAACAGCTTTATTAAAATAAAGGTATCAGGACAGGAAGGAATTATTTATTTAAATATTTGACTTGCGCAACAAAACTACGGTACTTTGTTTTTTTTTCAACAGGAACATAAAACAGTCAAGTTTTTGATGATTAGCCTGTTTTTCAAGGTCACGTTCCTGTACAAGTCAACTGTACAAAAACAAACTTGACTAAGCAAAAAAGGTGCTGCTGGACTGCTGTGCTTCATAAACTACTGACCAAACCTAAACCAGCAGAAAAAAAAAGCGTCATCTGCCTACCAATGATTACTTGAAATATAAAATAGACCAAAGAAGCAAATATAAATAACATACCTGATGCAAAGTTAACATTTTGGGTCTAATCTATGACCTTCAGACATTTCTCTTCCATGAAAACAGACTTAAAACCCAGAGAAAAATATCATGTGCCATGTAAGGATAGAAAAAATATACACTTACAAAGACAGGTTTCATACTAGTAAAGAAAAAATTGAACACTTACCTGAACCTGTCAGAGTGAGGTAGTCACTTGTCAAAGACATGACCCCACTAATTGTGACCTCACAGCTGTACTCTCCATCGTGAGTGCTGGCAGCGTACGGGTTCAAGGACAGTTCACTGCTGGTACTTGTAGAGCCTTCAGCTTGACCATCCTTGTACCTGAGACAGACAATGCACATTACGAAGAAAAGCTCATAGAGTTTGAAAATATACACAACTTAGGACTACCATTTAGCTCTCTTACGCTGCTTCAGAAAATATTTAATTTAAATTTTGAAGAATATTTCTTGTGAAAAGCAACAAAAACTTTCAGTTTGATTCATTTTCTCAGTAAACAAAACTTTAACCAGGAAAAATGTTAAACCAAATATTTAATGCAGAAGAAGAGATGAGGCAGCTACTTTGTCAGAGTCTAGTTTTCTTCCAACTTGACCTGGACTTACAACAACCAGATATGTTAGGTAGGCAACAAACATTGCTCTGTGTCTTGTACAAAATGACCTACACCTTCACATCAATAACTCAGTCCACTAACACACAGAAAAACCAATCTTAAGCAGTTTTTTTTAGGTATGAACTTGGTGTTTTACAAAATGGATAAAAATAATCCTTTTCAATGCATCTCTTTTGATTTCAATTTATTCATCTGTATCCAACTATCCATGGCTCATATTATTGTCAATAGTGCAGGTTTATCTTCAATCTTTTGTGTTCTTGTCTTGATTCATAAGCAAGTGAGTTTAAGCAGTACAAGAAAGTAAATGTTTCCACATAGCTACCATTGAACAGTTTGGACTCCTGATGAAGTACTGGTACAGGTCAAGGTCACATCAGAGCCGTCCATGAACGTTGTCGGGACAACAGTCACAACAGGTGTATCAGGAGCTCCTAAAGACAAGCAAAATACATAATATATATGTGAGAACATAGTCATTTATGTTCAGATTAGCCAAGCAAAAATGTAAAAATAGGACAGAACTATGGACATATAATAATGTGAGATCATGCTGACAACCGAATGCCTCCATTTACATTATGATGCATTCAGCAGAGATGCACATAGTTTGCACAAACTAATGGAGCACTCATTGGCTAAAAGTTTTGTGCCAATCAACCAAAACGTATTTAATAAGCTCATGTCAAGCTTATCTCATATTCTAATATTTTACATTAGATACCTCAAAAGCACTTTACAAAATAAATTCAATCAGAAATCTTGATACCCATATTCATACATTGCAATAAGTCTGTTCATTTTTAAAACATACAGTTGAACAGAAGTACATCCCTAGGGGAAGAGAGGAAACTGGTAAACCAACTCTTTAGAGCAGACCATCTTCAAGCATTGCCATACATTTGATTTAAAATTCTTAAAACAAAAAAAAATTGCAGCAACCTCATTACATGCAAATATCCCAGATTTTATGACCTAAAATCACAAGACGGGTTTATAATTATTTTAAAACTAAGTTATAAAACATACAACTATGGAAAAAAACAGCGCTGTACAATTCTATACCTGTTGGACCAATTTGCAGCTCAGCACTAGCCACAGACTCGACCCCTGAGCCAGAGATTGCTCTACAAGTGTACCCTCCGGTGTCGGTCGAGGCAAAAGAAGATATGACGAGAGTACTGGCTGATTCTCCACTCACAGTCACCCCGTTCTTGGAGTAGGCAAACGTAGTGATGGCACTGGTGGTGGTGGAACATTCCAGAGTGACAGAGTCGCCAATTGCAAAACTACTGGGGGTCACAGTCAGGCTGGGCTGTGCAGGTGCTCCTGTGATACACATGTAGAGTGTCAGCCATCTAATGAATATCAATTTTAAGGGGGATTGCTTCCCTTTATGAAAGGTATATATATATATATATAGGTAAGCAAGAAATATATTTTTTTCCCGTGAAACTTAAAAAAAACTTTTAATAAATATCTATAGGCCTATTCAGGTACACACATAATTTTTATACTCATAAGCGCTCTCATTATTAAGAACAGAAAAAAGCAATAATCTTAAGAAAGTAAAGGGGACACAACAATAGAAGAACTATTTATAAAGAAACACTAAATGATGTATATATATGTATGAAAATGAAAGCAGTGAAACCAAGAGAGGTATAAAAAAAAACAATATTAGACATACCAGCATACAAAAAGAAAAGAAAAAGACAAAGACAGAGAGAGAGAGAGAGAGAGAGAGAGAGAGAGAGAGAGAGAGAGAGAGAGAAAGAGAGAGGGAGAGAGAGAAAGAGAGAGAAGAGAGAGAGAGAGAAGAGAGAGAGAGAGAGAGAGAGAGAGAGAGAGAGAGAGAGAGAAAGAGAGAGGGAGAGAGAGAAAGAGAGAGAAGAGAGAGAAAGAGAGAGAAAGAGAGAGAAGAGAGAGAGAGAGAAGAGAGAGAGAGAGAGAGAGAGAGAGAGAGAAAGAGAGAGAGACAGACAGACAGAGACAGAGAGAGAAAAAAAGAGAGAGAGATGGAGTGAGAGTAAGCCTAAGTTTTATTTATTGAAAATGGGGAGGGTGCAGGGAAGTGGGCATTACCATGAATATATTTATTGAACAATAACATTATTAGCACCTTAGTGCCTTAGTCTTCCCAAAATCCTTTTTTCATAAAACATAATATAACCTTGACTAAAGGTTAGCTCACCACTCTCAGCAACTGGTACTTCATCGCTGTACGTAGATTTGACCCCAGAATTGATAGCTGCACATTTGTACGTGCCACCATCGGTAGACGATGTAAAAGATGGCAAAGTGAGCACCTTAGATGTCTCTGAGCGCAGCTCATTGTCCTGAAGCCACTCATAGCTAAGACTGAGAGAACCCTCTGAGCTAGATGTGCAGGTCAAAGCTACAGAATCACCACTGGAGAATGAAGAGGGGGCAACGGTGATGGTTGGCTTGTCCGGTACAGCTGTGAATGAAATATAAATTAGATTAAAGACACGATTTGGAGGTTGTAGGATCACTAAATCTGTAACCGTCCAATCAGAAATCCAATTAGACAAGGTAGAATCTAGATCTAGATCTAGATTTTAGATCTAGATTTGTTATTTCTATAATTATTATAATTTTTTGGGGAACGACAAACAAAGCCACTCCCAAAAAATTCTAATTTTCTTTAAAGTAAGGGACGATTTGCAAAAAAACCAACAAACATGCCGAACAAGATCTAGATCTCTAATTAAAATTTACAAAGACTTAGCCTAACAACATGTAGATCTAGTACGTAGATCAAGTACTAGTACTAGATTCAAGATCTACAGATCTAGATTCCTCACTTACTTTTACTCAACTAAGGACTAAGAAGAAAAGGATCCACGGCGAGTTGAATGGAAAATTAGAAGCCTCATTTAGTCATATTCATATATAGAAGATCTTTCGCCTAGCATAAGTCTAAAACTTAGGAATAGGATTAGTAAGAGTGGGATTCATAATATATAGATCTATCCAGATTCTTGATGTAGACCTAAATCTGAAAAGTATGCCAATCTTTGAGTTTGTAATATTGTAGGCCTAAATTGGTTTCACAGAGAGCGGGACAAAAGCGGAACTGATTCATTGAACAACAGCTTCGAATCGACGAAAGAAGGCCCATCGCCAACCAATGGGAGAGGAAGACCAATGTCAGTGGTCACCGCCTTTGCTTTCATGGCAAGGAGATCTAAACTCCTTGTTTCATGGTTGTCCAGAATGATGTCCCCTGAGACGTATATCAAGCAAAATTTGCAGATATGTCCTATTTCTTCTAAATAAACGTATGCTATATTTTTTTTTATTTCCAAGGATTACATGTGTAATTATACTCCACTGGACGAAAGTAGATAATTCTTCATTATTTCAGTGTATAGATTTCATTTATTTTCTTTGATACCCTGAGGTTGTTTATAGTTTTAGTTTTCGTAGAGGTTTAACGGCGCTCGCAACTGCATAAGGTCTTATGAGCGCCAAGGGGTTAACATGGATGTCAACAGAGAAATCCATACAGGGAGTCAGGCTTACTCTGCTCACCTCTCTAGCTTCAACTTCAACAGCACAAAGTCTGCTTCGACTATCAAGGCACCCCGCAAATAGCGGGTCACAAGAGTGTGACAAACATACAAAAGAAGTATGAGAAATGACGATATTAAGGATTAGGAAAGAAAAAGCAGCAGTTATAAGCATGACATTGATGAATCAGCCCATTGACAATTCTACTGTGCATAAAAACATGTTAATGTCCCCCCTTTGGGAATGGCCTAAAGACACTTAAGTCAGTAGCACCGCTTCGGGGGGTATGGAGGTTGTAACATACAATTGAAAGATTGTCACATTATAATAAAATATTATTAATATTCTAGTTGCAATTTTGTAAAAACACGATATTAATAGTCTTGCAAAACTAACCAGAGGGAGAAAAGTAAAAAACTATTATAACACAACATCAAGAAGAGTATATTTTTTATTGAGAAAAGCCTATCATGTATATTAAACAGAGAGAGGAAATTGTATCAGTAGCCACCAATAATTAAGGTACAGCAGGAGGTTTAATAATCACAATAACACATGTGTATTTTCCAAAAAAATAATTGTTATGTAACATGGCTCTGACGTGAAATTCTCAGCAATAAATTTGATATTGATAGATTTCATGTGTTTGCTACAATCTCTTTTAGTGAAAGCCCCAAAAAATAACTTAGCATTAAACAGAGGTGGGCTGCTTTGACCACGAGCTGAGAAAGATACAATTTATATGCAGGCAGAAGGAGACACCTGATTAAAAAATAAATTCAATGGGCAGGTATTGAATTCCCATTTTCTTTTTGAAATGGCAAAGAGCCTAATCGTATCTCCAATAACATAGGTAAACATGAAGACATGAAATTTCACTGAAAATAAAGGAAGTTTTAAAGCACTCACCATAGACAGCGAGAAAATGTTCATTACTAGGGTCAGAGGTTAGTGTGTCTGTAATGGTACAGGTGTAGCTGCCCCCATCTGTGCTCTGAGATGCTCCAGTGACCTGTAAGTCCCTGCCAGTCTCAGAGAGTGGGCTACCTGCGTCCTTTACCCACGTGTACGTGAAGGCAGAGACGGGCGAGGAGTCTGTGTTGCAGGTCAGTGTGACGTCATCACCTTCACCCACAACAGCCAAGCTGCTCGTAATGTACGGCTTGCTGATCGGGTCTGAAATAAAAAGAAAAAACTGTGTCATCACTTTTTGGGTCCTTAGTTCATTTTTAATTAGTTATAAGTCATAAGGATCCTGCATTGATTACATGACAACATGAGAAAACTAATTATAATTATATTATTACTATAATGGCAATACCAAATAAGAAGGGGCAAAAAGGGCAGTTGAACTTCACTGTCATGGAACATCAGGCACATATATCCTTTTCCCATCACACAGAGACCAGATTTCTAAGTGTATTTGTCTCTGACCGAAAAAAGATTGTGCAGGAGCAGTGTCTGGTATTTTAAAAGAAAGTGACCCTGGCTCTCTCTTTGAGATCATGAGACTTTTTATTGGGAGATCCGGTAAGAAATTAAACTTGCTTCTCGGCCTTTCGGCTAAGATCAAAGGTGGTATCTGTTCTCAGCTTCTCCTCCGACCTTGTGGCCACTGGTTTAGCGAGGCGGATACTGCCCGAGGCACCTGGGGAACGGAAAAATCTGCCCCTCTTTTCTATCGAGTGGACGGTTATCGTCCATTAAAAAAAACAAGCCAAGAATTTAAACTTGCGAAAAAAAGCAATTAAAGCATGTCGCATTCACCAGTGAAATTCAGAGGGTCAGACAATCAGTAGACAAGATAAAGTAAGAAAGTTGTTCCCGCATCCGATCCGGACATTGGGGATTGCCCTGTTAGAGAGACAACTTCCTGGGCCTTCGGCATAGTGTGGTGGGGTGGTCAGTTCCTTTCTACGCCGCCTTTACTTCCCCAACTCAAAGTCAGGTACCCATTACTGCTGGGTGGGCAGTAGGGGGCAAAAAAAATCTTTGTCCCAACCGAGGCTCGAACCTAGACTTTTCGCTTCGGAGACCAGCGCAGACAAGATAAAGAAGAAGAATATACAATGGTGCAACAATGTCATTTCTTAATATTGTCCTTCGACTTGATATCCAAGCTTTTTATTATGTAGTGGATAACTTTTGAAGGGTTGGGTTTTAAATAAAGCAGATATTATTTTAAAGAGGCAGCAAACATTACCTTGGACAGTGAAAGACACAGAGTTACTGCTGGGTGAGTCTCCTGCATTATTTGAAGCTTTACAGGAGTACGTTCCTTCCTTGGTGTTGTCCACACTCGTTAACACGTACGTGCTGGAAGACTGACCGCTCACCAGATCAGAACCCTTATACCACTTGAACGTCACATCAGATTCTGTGGCTGCGCAAGTCAGTGTGACTTCACTGCCTGCGGCTGCCACTGTCAAGCCCTGAGCCAGGCTCGATGTCAGCGTGGGCTGAGCAGGAGGTTCTGAATGTGTAGAAAATAATCACACTTAATTGAGATATCAAACAACATTAACATAAAAATTGTAGTATAGAAAATACCATGTACAGTTTCCAAATCAAGGTGGACGAGTGTATGGTTTGAGATCTATGACAGTTCTGTTATGTTGTTGTGGTTAGCTGTGTGATTTTCGGGAAAGTAGTCGAGTACGATGGGCTACCTATTTGACATTGAAGAAAACAAGGGCAGGCCAAGGCGTGAGCAACGGACTGTGGAAGACAGCGTGAGTAGCGGTCGAGGCGCAGAGCAGAGAGTAGCGACGAGTCAGTGCAAGTTGGATCGCTACATGAGGTGGGGGTGCATAGTTAAACCACATGCGTGTATAGTTAAACCACAGTTGTCTTGCCTATATGTGTTATATCCTTATTAGCAACACATCTTTTTAATTTCAAGGAAAACAAGAACCATAATCATAAAGTTAATGTAAAGGTCACATAGTATGAGCTTTGGTGTACATAATGAACTCATGTCTTCATTCTCTTGAACAAAAAAATGAACCCTCAGATTCAGTATAATTAGGCAGACTGAAGTTCGGATTACACCACACCTGCACTCTTTTAAAAAGAGAAGGTTAAGAAAACCACTGGATAGAATCCCATCTCTGCAGATGGCACCGTCATATAATATTATATTATCACCAAAAAAATGCCAAGAGTAGTTGAGTAAGCTGGAACTGTACTATATACATACCGAGAACTGTGACTGTGTATCCGTGGCTTGTGTCAGAGGCCACTGTGTCAATGAGTGCCTCACAGGTGTAGGAACCAACAGAAGCTGGCTGAATGTTGGTCAGGCTAAGCAGTGCTGTATTCTGTCCACTCAGCTCGCTGCCATCCTTGTACCATTTGTAGGAGGTGATGCTGGCGACACTGGAGGCAGTACAAGACAGTGAGACATCATCGCCTTGATTTGGAGCAGCTACGTCTGATGTCACAGTTGGCACTCCAGGTTTGTCTGTTGAGTAACAATTGTTATGTCATCATCATCACCATCATCATCATCATCATCATCATCATCATCATCATCATCATCATCATCATCATCATCATCATCACAACCCCAGTCACATATAAAGTTGTAAACGTATCTGACACCGGGCAATCCTCCCCCCCCCCCCTCCAAAAAGGACTAGGACAAAAAAAATCCCCCAAAACAGTTGTTATGGAAAAGCCTTCAAAAAGGCAGTACTAAAAGCCCCAACACAATTCAAGCTTTTCCCTATGTTCTAAAATGTTTCATCCAGCCTCCTGCAACTTCAATTGTTTATTCAACAATTGTATATAAAGAATGCTTCAAAACATAAGCCTGACTGTAGACTATAGTTTATTTCATGAACCTCTCAAAAGGCTAGGGAGATTAAACAAGGTGTGAATTAGAAAAGAGAAGAGACATTAAGGATCAGTGAAGATTTCAGATTTCCTTTACTATTACAACAATAACAAATGTTTCTTTTAGGTGAAGATATGTACTATATTTTGTAATTTAAAACAAAATGGTACAGTAAAAGTTGTCAGTTGCATTATGTAATACAAATATTATTATGTAAGACATTACCATGGGCACAGTATACTCACCAACAACTGCAAATGAATATGCAACACTGGCCACTGAATCTACGGCATAGATCGTAGCTTTACAAGTGTAAGACCCAGTGTCTGAGGTGGCAGCACTTGCCAAATCGTATGTGGCGCTGGAGCCGCTTTGAATCTGGATGCTGCCATGTGAAAATGTGTAGGTCACAACTCCACTGCTCAGTGTTGCACATGTCAACGTCACAGATGTGCCGCTCTCAATGGTAGCATCTGAAGGACTTGCTGTCAAACTTGGTGTTTGGGGAATGGCTGAAAAGATAGTTATAATTATAATATGTAATGAGTAGCCACATTTATAGCTTTGCTACAGATCGATCTATATTTGTTATATTTTGGGGTGAAATTGCATTGAGGGTGGGGCACATTACCAGACAAATCTTAATTAAAGGAAAAGTGATTTGCAAAAATATGTAAACTGATTCAAGTAACAGTGACAGAAAGGCAAGACAGTTTGTGCAATAAGACAGGGCCTCACCCCTATTTAACCCCCACAGGTATTTGTATATGTGTTCCTGACTCGATGTAGTTCTATTTGAGAACCCCTTCACCCCCCTCCCTGAAGAAGAGGAACAGACTCAAAACCAAAGCAAGAAAAAAAATGATCAGCAGCCTCTAACTCTAAGCCCAACCATCCTTGTCTAGAAAATCTGAAGGTTTCATCTCTGGCTCAGATGTCGCCAGTGTTTACCATCATTTTCTCTTGTGCATTTTGTCACATTTGAATACTTATCCAATTCTTATTTTTTCAAGGTTTATGGATTAAAAAAACAACCCAAAAAACAAACAACCAAACAAACGAAAATGAGTCATACCTGCAAAAACTATAGTTAGCGGATCACTCTCAGGGGAAGATAGGGGAGCTTCTACCACAGCACAAGTGTAATCGCCTGCGTCGGACGAGGTAAATGATGAAATGTCCAAAGCGGACGCACTCCCGCTGACCACCTGTCCATCCTTCCTCCAAGCGATGGTCAGGGTTCCTGTGTTGCCATGGTGACAGGTCAAGGTGGTTGAGGCTCCCTCAGGTACAGCAGACAATGTTGCTGTGAGACTCGTAGGTTTGTTGGGCGGTTCTGCATTGGATGAGAAAGGGGCAATATTTGAGAATCAAGTGCTCTTCAATTTTTTGGCATATGAAGTTATTTGTATCATTTTAAAAAAGGTTAATTTATCTTACTGACTATTAATTTAAAACACCCATCTATCTTGAAGAGAAGTCTAGATGTTTGCGGGTCACTTGGTATCATTGGTAAAATTTCTTGTGCATTTTATCAGTTTTCCAGTGCAGTCCACAGACGGATGTGCAGATGTATTATTCAATGGGATTAAACGGTATTGGAGCCCCTACACCCCAAAAAAACAAACCCCCCCCCCCTCAAAAAAAAAATGATACAAATTGCCCAACAGCTGGAAAGATTACGGTTTTTTTTCAATTTTGTTGATTTGACAAGCACTTAATTTCACTCCGCTGCCACACATTTTTATTTATTATGTCACGCAAGTACATTTGACTAAAAAAAATTGCCACATTAGATGAGGAGTCGCGGAGTCCCCACATGTGTAGTTGTGGAATACGACCATTGTAAACATCTGTAAAATGATGTTATGCTACAGCAAGGCTTTCCAATTTTTGCTCAGTTACTTCTTGAAAATGATACTCTAGAATGAGAGAGAGAGAGAGAGAGAGAGAGAGAGAGAGAGAGAGAGAGAGAGAGAGAGAGAGAGACAGAGAGAGCCGTGTGATGGGAGGGATA